TCTCCATCTCCAGCTTTCTTTTTCTTCTTGACTTGCTGCTTCTTGGAGTTCCTTGAGGTAGTTTCTGTCCACAGGTAAGGTCTGTAAGGTGAACATTGGTTCCCACTCTCCGGTCACCTCTCCTTCCATTTCTGGTGGTCCCATGGCCGCTCGTTTTGCCGCCAAATCTGCCAGATTATTGCCTTTGGCTTCTGAAGAGTTTAATTTCCCATGAACTTTTACCTTCAGAATAGCCACTTGAATGGATAGAAGGAGTGCTTCCAGCAGTCATCCAATGGCTGCTCCATGTCTTATGGATGTACCTGCCGCAGTCATAAATCCTCTTGCCTTCCATATGGGTCCAAAGTCATGGGCCATCCCAAAGGCGTATCTGGAGTCTGTGTAAATATTGGCTCTTTTACCTTCTGCCATTTTACATGCTGTAGTGAGGGCTTGAAGCTCTGATTCCTGGGCAGATAAAGTTGGTGGTAATGCTCCTGCTTGTAGAATTTCAAATTCCGAGGTCACAGCATAACCTGTGTGGTACTTGCCTCCTTCATCTGCATATATGGAGCCATCCACAAAAAGTGTGTAGTCAGGGTTTTCCAGAGGAATTTCACTCACTGTAGGGAGATGTGTGGTTTCCATGCGCATCATTTCAAGGCAGTCATGTGGAGTAGTACAGGGGTCTCGTTCTTCACCTTCGCCTTCTTCTCCCCCCCCTCGAAAAATGGCAGAAGGGTGGCTGGGTTGAGAGTGAGACACCTTTGGAGGGTCACATTGTCAGGAATGAGGAGGGAGATTTGCAACCGTAGATGTCTGGCCGTGGACAGGTGTCGGGGTTGTACTTGATTCAGGATGGCAGCAATGTCATGCGGTGCCAGAAGAAACGTGGGGTGTGGTAAAACGAGGTCTGAAGTTCTGTCCAATAGTGCTTGAGCAGAGAAGACAGCTCTTAGAGATGAAGGACCACCCCTAGCTACGGGATCCAAATGACAAGAATAGTACCCAATGGGTCTGGTTTGCCCTCCATGTTCTTGAGCTAGGACCCCCGTGACGTGGCCTTGCTTTTCTGACACAGTTTGAAAGGTTTCTCATAATTCTGGAAGTCCCAAGGCAGGAGCGGTGGATATTGCTTGCTTCAGCAGAATAAAATTATCCATGGCCTTGCTTGACAAGGTAAATGGCACAGACTTGAGAGCATCATAAAATGGTTGCATACGGACCGATGCATCAGGGATCCATGCCCTGCAGTAGGATATGAGTCCAAGAAAGGCATGCAGTTGTTTAGCTGCTTTAGGTTGGGGAATATCCTGGATTACAGCTACACGGTCCCCCAGTCTTGTTTGAAAATACTGCCATAAGGGGTGACACGGGTTTGCCCATTTCCTAACGAGAGTTGGGGCGTGGTGGTTGATATTCACGCTGCCCGTCTCGGGGGTCCCTGTCTTATCTGGGATATCTTGGGGCTCTGCATTCTCTTCTAAAGTGTCCCCGTTTCCCACAGTTATAACAGGTGATCCTTTCCCTGATATTTGGCAATGGTGGTGGACGAGTGTAGGTGGGATCTTCATCATTGACCATCATGAGGGGCGCTGGTTTTTTTCCTTTTTTATTTTCTATGCCTCTGGCCACCAACAGTCATCAGACATCTTCATAGAGCGGTATTCAGGGCGGGCCACCATCAGACCTTTCCTGATATCCTCTTTGAGCCCTGAGACAAAAGCAGTTGAGAGCATGTGTGTTTGTGCCTTTTCATATTGAGAGAAGCCCAGATCATCAAAGGCCTGTATGAGTCTGGCATAATACTTCTTCACAGACTCCCCTTTATCTTGGGTGATGTCTTGAATTGTGGTAGTCTGATCCGCCAATTTCTCCTTTGTTTAGTCGTGGAGCTGGACACAAAACTCCACGCCTGAAGAACAGGAAATAGCACTTGTCAGGCAGGCATCATTGAAGCCCATCTGCATAACTGGCCAGAAAACATGTCCTGCTTTAATTTGGCATAGACTGAGCAGGTCTTTCCAAGCAGCTGAGTAAGTTTCTTGTATCTGCGGTAAAAGGGCATTGGCTGTTTCTCTGGGTCAGGCAGACTCGTCACTAAGGCCGCTGCTTGTGATGGGGTAAAAGCAACATACATTACCGGTGCCCCTTCCGGTAATCTTGAATGTCGGTGTTGTCTTGTGTACTGTTCCGGTTTAGTTTGTACTCCACTGTGCGTGGGTTTGGGAATCAAATCTAATGGTGCCCTTGTCGCTTGCAGCTGTCGATCACTCCATTCAGATGCATCGTCATTCAATTGGACATCTGACATAGGTTTGGGAGTCATACCTATCGGCATCCTTCCTGCTTGAGGTTGTTGATCATCCGACTCGAATACATTGTCATTCATGTATCCGGCTTGTGAAGGTGACACTTCCATATTGGGGAAAACGGGGAGTGTGGTAGGAACCATCCTGGTTTAGAACAGGGGAGAACTGGGTATATGCCTTATTTAGGCCTTCCGGGTGTACCAAGATGGCCGGCGAACGGAAGTGCACTGGGCTGGGCAGGAAGTGACAACACAGGTGTAGCAAGATGGCTGCTAGCAGGAAGTGTACTGGGCAGGAAGGGACAAAGCAGGAGCAGCAAGATGGCTGCCATCAGGAAGTGCACTGGGCAGGGCTGGGGTGGTGGGCATAAAGTAAGCGTTAGACAAAGGGCAGGGCTGTCCTCCCCTCCTCCACCCCACATTCCAACATAGGGCGGTGGTTTTAGCAAACTTCCAATTACAATTTTGTAATACAAATACATTATACAATTGCCATTTTCTTGAATTTCTTCCAACTATCCTTCTTTATACAACACTTTTCCAGTTCTGTACAAAACTTCTGTCACGTTCAGCAAACCTTTATCACATAACATTCCTCTCTGTTCCTACAATGATTTATGCCAGTCCTGACCTTCAGCTTACAAACTTTCGCTACTTACTATAACTTTAACTGCTTCACTTCCTTCACAATATGACATGCCAGTAATCCTTTTCAATATTTTTAACACATTAATGGTACACATAAACAGTTTATTTATTTTTTTTTTTTTCCCTGTAGCAATACCTGTTCTGTCCACTACTCTTTGTGGATAACTTCGGCTACATTATACCAAACTTCTTGCTGTCCTCAGCACATGTTTGTCAACTAAGACATCTTTCTTCTCTTTTTTTTTTTTTTCCGCCATACCTCCTTATCTTTAATTCCACATACTTTTCCTTTTCTCTCTCTGCAACCAGGTCACTTGCTAAACATTCCTTTCTAGGGGTCTTATCAGCGTCTGACCATCTCCTCCCCCCTTCTCTGTCCTTCCTAACAGGAATCTAAGACACTTCACAGGCTGCTGTCCAGACTTTCCTTAACCCTTAACAAACCCCAACCTTCTGTTATGAATGGCAAACATTAGCTTACAGACACACATTTAGGACATAACATAGCAGTCTATCTTGGTGGGCCATGAGTACAGATCACTGAGTAACTCTTCCTAGCCCCAAAAATGGCTAGGGCACCCGCTGTCACACTACCGTGACGCATATCCGACACCTCCTCTGTTGTGGTCAACACACAAGGTTACCACACACCCAGAGAAATTATGTGTCAAAACCCTCAGTAGGTCCACTCCTCTTCCACCTCAAGACTGATACATAATAAAAACACACAACAGAGACCCAGGTAACAGATAAGCACATGCAGGTATATTTAAATAAACTCCGGGCATACAAGGTTACCTGCCTTTATTGACCTTTAGCAGCCGTACTAGGCACAGGTATGAATCAACAACAAAGACAGGATAAGCAATGGTAAGATAGCAAAATATATCTTACCATGCTCCGAGAGGTGATCAAGCTCTCCGGCCTGTCCAGTTTGACTGACACCGAACGCCTTTTCATGGCGGCTGGCTGCAGGTTCATTATTCAGTTCCCGGGTTTCTTGGCACCAAATTGTTTTAGTCATGGACTTAATCATCCAGTGCTTATCTGTTCCTGTCCAAAATTTATGACGCTGGCCAGCTTTTGGAATGTGCGCACATAAAGAAAACTCACACTGACACGTTTGGTCTGTGAAAACTTCTCTCTAATTTATTGAAATGAAACCGTGAGCTTATATATGAAAAATGATGCGAACATCACGTGATAACAGCATAAGCATTATATTAGTCTTTGATTGGTCACTTTACACGAAAACAATCTCCGTCATGGTATAGGTGTGATCTTCTTCAGTCTTATCTTAAAAAGAGAAAAACATTCTTTTGTCTTCCAAATCACACGATGGGAGGGGGTCTGTTCCTGTGAGCAAATATTTCTTAAGCAAGGATTTCTTAAAGTACCACAAAGCCTAGCAGGCAGAAAATATTCACACAACATATGTATTAAAGTATAAAAGTAAATATTTATAAAACTTATAGAAATAGCGTATATATATATATATTCAATAGGAAACGAAATAGGCATTTTACCAAATCCATCACAAACACACCTCGAAATCCACGGGGGATTACATCAAGTAGTGCAGTGGTTCTCAACCTTCCTAATGCCGCAACCCTTTAATACAGTTCCTCATGTTGTGGTGACCCCCAACCATAAAATTATTTTCGTTGCTACTTCATAACTGTAATTTTGCAGTGGAAGGAGTAGTGCCACATCATTGGTGTCAGTGGGATGAGTAGTGCCACATCACTGATGTCAGTGGGAGGAATAGTGTCCCATCGTTGGTATTAGTGGGAGGAATAGTGTCCCATCATTGGTGTCAGTGGGAGGAATAGTGCCACATTGTTGGTGTCAGTGGGAGGAATAGTACCCCATCATTGGTGTCAGTGTGGGAGGAATAGTGCCCCATCATTGGTGTCAGTGTGGGAGGAATAGTGCCCCATCATTGGTGTCAGTGGGGGGGAGGGAATAGTGTCCCATCATTGATACTAGTGTGGGGGGGAATTGTGCCCCATCATTGGTGTCAGTGGGGAGGAATAGTGCCCCATCAATGGTGTCAGTGGGGGGAGGAATAGTTCCCCATCGTTGGTGTCAGTGGGGGGGGGGGAGTAGTGCCCCATCATTGGTGTCAATGGGAGGAATAGTGCCCCATCATTGGTATTAGTGACACCAATGATGGGGCACTATTTCCTCCCACTGACACCAATGATACTTACCTTGCTGACTCCTGCTCCAGCCTGGGCTCGCTCCCTCCCTCTCCCATCTACAGCCAGCATACCTGGCTGCAGCAGCACCATCTGCATGCTACAGACACTTACCTGTCAGCTGTCTTCCTTATCCGGCTGCTCCCTCGCTCGATCTTCTTTGATCTTCACACTGCTGCTCGGCTCCACCTCTCCAAGCTCCACCTCCTCGCCGGTGATTGGCCGCCTGTGTGCCTCTCCTGAGCTACAGTTCCGGCGGCCAATCACTGGCAAGGAGGCGGAGCTGTTGAGTGATCCCGGGGATGTGGCCAGATGACAGGGGCGGCATGTCATCCCACGCACACATCACGGTCCAGGGAAATGTGGACGTATCTGCATGTGGGCGGACCCGCCTGGAGACTGAAAGAGGAGCGGTGTCTCGGTTCCTAAGATCATAGGAAATATGTGTTTTCCAATGGTCTTAGGAGACCCCTGTGAAAGGGTTGTTCGACCCCCAAAGGGGTCGCGACCCACAGGTTAAGAACCGCTGTCCTAGTGGAACAAATCCACATAGAGCCTGAATTTTGGACAAATGTATATATATATATATATATATATATATATATATATATATATATGGTTAGCACGTCTGCCTTGCAGTAAATAGGTCATGGGTTCGATTCCCGACCATGGCGCCTCCTGCATGGAGTTTGCATGTTCTCCCTGTGCTTGCGTGGGTTTCCTCCGGGTGCTCTGGTTTCCTCCCACACTCCAAAGACATGCTGGTAGGTTAATTGGATCCTGTCTAAATTGCCCATAGTATGTGTATGTATGAATGTGAGTTAGGGAACTTAGATTGTACGCCCCTTGAGGGTTGGGGACTGATGTGAATGTACAATATGTGTAAAGCGCTGCGGAAATTGAGAGCGCTATATAAGTACCTGAAATATATATATATATATTTTTGCACAGAGAGTCCGCCCTGTAGTAGTAATCCTGCTATAGGGCAGAGTTAAAGTGGTTAATGCTTCTTCAGGAGGCCCTGATACAATCTAAAAAGTGGTAAGTATAGAAATAGCACTGCATCCTGGCTGGGAACGCCCCATATACCCCCTAGGACTGCAGTGACACAAGGGAATGGGTTGTGGTTGGCAAAAGAGCCTCCTCTGGTGATCACCAGCATAGGCCTTGTTACACATCTTGCTTGAGAGGTGCGGTTTGTCAAGATAACTGCCCAAACTACAAAAAACTGTAATATGATGGAAGAAGAAGCCACCCAATCCAAAAGAAAAAAAGGTGGAGGGAGGTACACTTGGATGCTCCTCACAATGGGCAGATAATCCAATTTGAAGGGCAAAACACTGGAGACACAACATGTTGCAACACAAACCCGCATCTTAACAGGAAGCAGAGGAGAACATCCATTACTCTTCCCTCTGAGACCTCACAGAATGTCTGGGAAAATGTTGACTTCTGCTGGGCCCCTATAACATACTCCTCTGCCTTGGAATCAACCTGACCTATATTTAAGATTCAAAATTTCAAGCCCCCTTCCTTGTGCTGGTAAGTCATATATAGGTCTTATCAGAGGAAGCAGGATCCTTTATCATGTGTAGGGAGAATTACAACAGTCAAGATGTCCATCTTAACCAAACCTCTGTAATCTTTCAGTACTCTTCCAGTATACGATCACTTACATGTTCTCCTTTCTCTCCAAACAAAAATACTTACATTTATCGGGGACCAACAAGATCTAGGATCACCAAACAAACCCTCTTCAAGGCTAAATCTCAGTGTCAGGAAATGCCTGTCCATAGTGCAGGTGAAGTTCCGTTACGCACCAAACAAATGTACGCACCAAACAAATGTGCAGGCACATAGATATAGGTGCACACAAGTGCACGCGCATGTGCACTCACGCATACAGGCACGCGCCTGTCACTAATGCTGGCGCCAAAAGGGCTATTTAAACTGGCTGCAGTAGTTGTCCCATTGCCATATGGTCTTATCCCTGCTCGTGTTCCCTGATTCCTGTGATTGTCTCCTGATACTGAACCAGCTTGCTCCTGACCTCCGCTTGACTGCTACCTGCCCTGACCTCTGGCTTGCCTTGTATTATCCTTCTGTCTCCACTCCTGTCTGATTGATTTTGTTGCTGACTTGGCCTGTGACCAGACTACTCTTCCTCCTGCCGCTTTAAGACTGATCTGCCTGACCAATACCGAACCCGGCTCGTCTGACCCTGCATCCTCAGCATGCTGCTCTCGGGTATCCATCCATCCAGCAGGGCTGCATCAGAACCCTGCTCCCTGCCTACAACTCATCAGCTTATCAGCTATTACTGGACTGATCACAGACACTCATTCCCCACCGTGGCCCTGCGGCCGCTGTCTCACCATCAGCCGTCCTTGAGCCGGAGTTGTACGGGAGGCCTGCCTCTTCACATCAGGCTCACTATCCAGGTACGTGACACTCAGCTAGGTTTTGGGGTTCTTTCACCTCACCAGTTATTATCATGCAGCACACATTTCCCTACAAGTTTTTTTACATGTAGAGTCCAATGTACCCATATATTGTAAATGGAAGCCTTGAAGCTTACATCTGTTTCCACTCAAGTAATTTTATTGACTTCACCCACATTTAGAATATGTTTACCTAGGCTTGTCACAACACATTACTTTAAAGTGTGGATCCATGTCACAATCTGGAATAATAATATCCCTTCTCCTACCCCTTTCCACCATCTTTACTCCTGGATGGGATTCTCCCATGAGCTTTGCTTGGTGGTGTCAGGCCATTTTACTCTGCAGTCGTCATCTCCCCAGATCCTCAGGTCTTGTATCCTCTGTATCTCTTAGGGATTTAAAAACCATCCTCATAGCAGTAACCTTTTAATATGTGAAAATAAAACACCACATATTATCTTAAAAATAATGACAATCCTTTAATCCTCAATTTTACATAACTTGTTTTAGGGACCCCCATTACCCAGTATTATTCCCATTAACTGTCCACAAAATATTTCTCACCAGCTTACTTTGTTTACTGTGCTGTATGTTACATGCCCCTGACTGCCATACTCTGTATGCTGTACTGTATGCTATACATTACATACTTTGACCGCTGCACTTTATACACTGGGCTGTACATTATATACTGCTGACCCTGCACACTGTACCATACATAAACCTGACTTCCGTGATCTGTGCTTTACATACAGTACTTCTTGCCCTGTAATTTATGTTTTATGCACTCTCAGCAGCTGTGCTGTGTGCGTTACATACTCCTGACTCTTTTGCTCAGTGTGTTACTTACTGTTGATCCCCACTGTATACTCACAACCCCTGCATTCATTTTCATTTCATACTCCTGACTCCTACATGATATAAATTTTCTTGTATATGACAGATTCCTGACCCCTTGTACATTGCCTACTCTTACTTACTGTTGACCCCCACTGTATACTCCCAACCCCTGCATTAATTTTCATTTCATACTCCTGACTCCTACACTATATAAATGTTGTTGTATATGACAGATTCCAGACCCCTTGTACACTGCCTACTCTTAACCCCTGCACTCTCTATATACTATATTGTAATTACATACTCCTGGCCAAAGTATTACTTGTCTCAATAGTTGTTGGTTGACTGTTTTACTGAATTTTGTCCTAGTGGGAAGACATATAAATGGTGTCAGCTATTATCTGTGTACAAAAAAGCATATGTAGTGAAAGAGTTTTATTTTGAAAAAATTATTGTGCTGAGGTTTATATGAACCTCAGCACAATAATTTTTTCAAAATGAAACTCTTTCACTACATATGCTTTTTTGTACACAGATAATAGCTGACACCATTTATATGTCTGTGTCACATACCATATATATGTATGTGACGCTCTCGCTTGTGGCACAGTAATAAGATAATTAGAACATATTTTGTTGGTACAAATACTGTGGTGTATGTGTGCCAGGTATACAGTAAGCAATAATACTATTTCAAATACCCATTAGTGTTAGCCAAACAGGCCACAACATATGCTCATTATCTACACCACATCTCTTCCAAATGCCCAAGTATGCCCAAGTATTCCCAGGTATTTCACATTCCTAGCATGTACATGACCACCCCAAACAAAAGTATATTGGGCCATTATTCAAGAAAAATAACTAGTTAAACAGACACATCACTCAAATGTCTTTCAATAGTGTTTTTTAGCCATTTGAATATAATATTAGTATTCTATGGTATTATTATGTTTTTATTATTATTATTACTATTATTATTATACAGTATGTATATAATAGCATGAAAATGACTAAGCCATTGTACATTATCTTCTCTTTTACCATTACTTCGCAACATTCTGCATATTTTTTTTCTGTCACTGAAATCTAAATAAAGTTATTTTGAGTAATTTTAAAGAACCAAATTTAGTGATTTTATTATGTATTTTCAGGCATATTTTTTGGCATTCATGTACAGTATAGGAAGGCAACTGTGGTAAGATGGTTAATGGCATACAAGTATTTGCTTGTATATATAAATTAAAGAATCGGTATGATATTGATTATCAGAACATTTTGCAATGCTATGGGGTCTTCAACAGAGTTCTTTTTTTTTTCCATGACAACCCAGATTGACTAACATGGCGATTCTTCATCTCCCTAAAATGTTAGGCTTTGGTGCCACCTAGTGTATGGACTTATTATTATTATAAAATATTTATAAAGTGTCAAAAGTTCACTCAGCGCTGTACAATACAATGGGAGACAATACATGCGACAATATAATAATACAATGCGATACATGAGGGGTTCGAGGGCCCTGCTCCTTGGAGCTTACAATCTAGGAGGGAGGGGATAGTGGTACAGGAGGAAAAGCTGTGGGGGATGGAGTGGTAGGAAGAGTGGAAGGAGGTCAGCAATAAGCAGGGAGTGGGGTAGGCTTCCCTGAAGAGGTGGGTTTTCAGGGTGTGCCTAAAGGAGAGGAGAGTAGGTGATAGACTTCCTTTATTTATTGATTAATAAGGCCATGATTCCTTTATAAATAGGACAGGTCTCTACTTTCTCTTGGCAAATTGCAGTCGTGAGCTCTCCCCAACAAGGCTTTGTTCCCTCCTGCTTTTAAACTTCAGATGTTCTAATTCCTCCTGTTTCGTTCTCAGCAAAACTTAGAACATTCAATGGAGATGGACGGGAACAGGGGCGGACTGACAACTCATGGGGCCCCCGGGCAATAGGGGATCATGGGGCCCCTGTGTCCTTGCCCAAACTCAAAAAAGCCTATGAAAAAGGTACCAGGGGCATCTCATGGGGCCCCCTACTGACCCCGGG